CATCATCATCATTAAATTTGTATACCACCCAACTCTCAATGACATCTATCATCTCAGATTGATTAGATCTTTAACCAGGTATGCATATCTGCAATACATGGATGAACTGAAGCTGTATGGAAAAACAGCATCTGAAATGGAATTGCTGTTCAACACTATCCAAATATACAGTCAAGATATTGCAATGGAGTTTGGACTGGACAAATGTGCCACCCTTCCCATCAACATGGGAAAAATAGTGAAAACCAAAGGAATCGGGATGCCCAAAGGAAATAACATCAAGAGTCTGGATGAAGAAGATCACTAGAAATACTTGGCCATCCTTCAGGCTGACAGCATCAAGCACACTGAAGTCAAGTAGAAGGTTAGTAGTGAATACATCAGAAGAGAGAAAAAGTTCTCAAAGTCCAAACTCAGTGGTGGAAATACCATCAAAGCAATTAACTCCTGGGCAATTCCAATAATTAGTTATACAGTTGGAATAGTGGACTGGCTTCAAGCTGAACTAAAAGCCCTGGATAGGAAGACCAGAAAAATAATGACAATGAATCATGCCCTTATAGTGGACTGGCTTCAAGCTGAACTAAAAGCCCTGGATAGGAAGACCAGAAAAATAATGACAATGAATCATGCCCTTCATCTATGCAGCAATGTTGACAGACTCTACTTACCAAGGACCATAGGTGGGCATGGGATGTTGCAAGTACACCAGACAGTTGAAGAAGGGAAAAAAGGGCATTGGAAGAATATCTGAAGGGGAGTGAAGAAGATACACTGAAGCTAGTACACAATGAAGGTTTACTGAATATCGAAGAGACCAAAGTGGCCTATAAGAAAGATCAGATGAAGAATAGAAAAGAGACATAGCAAGGCAAAGTATTACATGGCCAGTACAAACACACATGCACACAGTTAGCAGGCAAAGCACATAATAAGAAGACCTGGAAATGAATAATAGCAATGATAACAACAAGAACAGGTGGGACCACAAAACAGACAAAGTAATAGAAAATGCTAAAGTGCTCTGGGACCTTAGAATTTAAACAGACAAGAATCTGCCACACAACACTCCAGACTTACCAATTGTTGATAAGAAAGACAAAAAAG